GGGCTTGGTGACTGTTTAAAAAACCAGCTGAAAACCAGGTCTCGAGCATCAAAAATTCTGCAGAATTCGTGAAAATTAAATGTTGTCACGTGACACTATGTGTAAAAAAAAAATGACGCGAATCGAATATAATTGACTCTTGCAAAAATATGTCATTATGAAGTAATTAAATAAGTGTACGTAAAAAACAGAGAAAAGCGTTATAAATGAGGAATTTTAAATGAACATAATAACAACGTTCGTTTTTCGATTGTATTTTGCCTTTCAATGTCACCAACCGTTGGTTTGATGTCCGCAGTAAACAGTAGGGAACTTACGGACGATAAAAAATCGAATATCACTTCTTTAGCTGTGGCTCAAGGCGCTAACCTCCTGAATAGAGACACAGGTGGATTCACTGGCCTTCCTCCTGGTGGCTTTGATTCATTTATTTCATCAATATCAGTTCGATCACAATGGATTGCATTTTGGATTTTGTGGATTATTTGGGCTCTACTTTTGTAAATTAAAGACATATGTTAATACATATATTATCCTTTATGCATTAATAATAATTTCGTAAAATTCAGACTGTTGAATTGGATCCATAAAGAACTAGTTAAACGTGACAGGATCGAACTAAGGTCGTCAACTGATGAACGTACCGAACAAACCGAAACAGCCGCAAACACCTTTTTGGAAAGATTAGTAAGTTTAAACTATAACTTTTTATTAAAAAATATACAAATCTCACAAATTAAAAACTTTCAAGGGCAATGGACCGAAACGCGCATCAAGAATTGCACATGATCTATTATTAGGCTTCTTATCTGCACTGGTCATGAATACACTTGGTCGTGGATCCGGTACAGCCGTGGAAACACTTTCATGGATTTACCTCGGCTTATCTATTATCTGGTTGGGTACAGAATTGGTAACCGAAAATAAACTTGTTCGGTTGTCAATAGGATCTGTATTGTTGGCAATTTTGCTAACGATCTTCATTATTTCATACGCGGCTGGTTGGCGATTTGTTGGCTAAAATGTAGATCATCTACCACTATTCTGCTGAGCCCTATAGCGAGTTTTGTATAACCATTAAAATGAAATGCATGTTTTCTTTAACATTATTTTTGATAAACTTGAATAAATATATGCTGTATTTGTTTGCTTATCAATTATTCAATTAACGGAAAAGAATTCCGGCACTATTTCATATCGAATGTCTTCTGATATTTAAGTGTATTGAATATCGCTATTTTGATATCATTTTGAAGCACTTTATCTTTTCGAATGTACTATGACTGTTTATTTTTATAACCAAACTTCTCTAAGTGTACGTTTAAAGTTAGTGCATTTTAAAAGGCATTTGTTATAGGTCATGCTGGCTTAAGAAATGCTTGGAGTTAAACTGTAACTTATAGTTGCTATAACTGCATGTTTTGGTAGGTCTGTTTCAATGTTTTAATTAAAAATCAGGTGTTTTTTTACACGTACATTAAGTTTCGATTGTATCGATGAAATTTTAGACACTTAAAAGAATAAATCGTCTAAATGGTTCTATGCTTCCGTTTTATTATGCTTCGAAATGGTAGAATGGCATTTCGAGCATCGTAAGTGTTACGTAAATCTTCGGATAAAAGATCCGTATATCTTTATGGGTTCGAATTGCGGAATCTAAAGTGAGAGATGGAAATGTCTCATTTTGAGATTTAAAATTTTAAATTGATTTTTGACACCGTAAAATCTCGAAATAGCGGGCATCTGCGCGCTATTTGACTACCTGCACGTTATTTCGAGTACGCCCATGGGCGTTATTTCGAATGTATAGGCCGATTTTCTGAATTTGATGTTAAATAGCCCACAAAGAACTGGGCCTGGGGCTGAACTTTTTAGGGCAGGACTCAAACTAGTCCAGATAAAATTTAATA